TCTCTTCATCATCACCATCAATTGCAGGTGTGGATAGAGAAGATCAAGAGCGATCAACACCATTAGATTTGTCATAGAAACCAATGACATGCATTGAGAGATAAAAGAACATTTAATCAATACTATTACTACCCTGACAACCCAAACACTAACAGCATATCTCTCTTCATCATCACCATCAATTGCAGGTGTGGACACCATTACCGATGACATGCATTGACAGATAAAAAACACTAACAACTCAGCAGTATAAATTGGGGATATATTCAATTAGTAAATCGTGCAAATCCGCTAGAACAGAGAAGGGAGAGGGATAAAGACCCATTACTGAGAGAAAGAGAGAGAGAGAGAGAGGAGAGAGAGAGAGAGAGAGACATTTACATACCTGTGTTGAAGGGCTCGGATCGTTTGATAGATTGCAGATCGTTACAGAGCTTGAGAGAGTTCCATAGCTTGCAGATCATAGAGAGATAAAGAGTGCAAATCTACTAGAACAGAGAAGGGAGAGGGATAAAGACCCATTACAGAGAGAGAGAGAGAGAGGAGAGAGAGATATTTACATACCTGTGTTGGAGAGCTCAGATCGTTTGATAGATTGCAGATCGTTATAGAGCTTGAGAGAGTTCCATAGCTTGCAGATCACAGAGAGATAAAGAGGGAATGAGGTGGGTGAGAACAGAGAAGGGAGAGGGATAAGGATAGAAGGGAGGGGAGACGTGGGCAAACGGGAAGGTGAGAAGACGTGGGTAAGTAGGAAGCTCAGTCTTTGGGCGAGAAGTAAGTGCAAATATATATTAATATATATTTAAGGGGTCATCTCAGCCATCTATCTAAATAGACAAATAAATCATAACCATTGAAATGTCCTGATAGGACAATTATATCTAACATATTTTTAAAAAATTTTATACTTTATTGTATAAATTTTATTTACATTTCACTCACTTTTTATTTTTCTTTCACTAATCACTTCCATAATCTCTAAATCAAACACGTATCATGTGACGGTGATTCAAGGGCAACCAATAACTTCTCAGAATTACGAGGCTTTAGTGAATACCCGACCCGATTCTCATTCAAATATGTGGAACCCACAAATTTTGGGAAAATATCGTATGGGCCCCACAGAACCATGAGTTTACACATGCACACCGACCTGCCTCTCTCTCCTAATTAAATAGTAGAGGATCAAAATGGTCATTTTCGCATCTAATCCCAACAGTGAATAGTCCCCCACATTCTATCCCACCCCCTAGGACACAATAGTCCCCATATGGGGGACATGGAGTCCGGCCGGACTCCATGTCCGGCGGACTAAAAAAAAATAAAACGGCGAGGAAGGAACACTATTAGTGAATACCCGACCCGATTCTCATTCAAATATGTGGAACCCACAAATTTTGGGAAAATAGCGTATGGGCCCCACAGAACCAGCTTAGTTTACACATGCACACCTACCTGCTCTCTCTCTCCTCTTCCTGTCTCTGTTCGATCGTCCCCTCCAACAACCCACCAAAAACTACTTCATACTCTCTCAACTCAAGCTCTGTTTTCATCGCCCCTCGGCGGACTTTCCCACACCAACCCCTCTCTATATATCCCCCCAAAACCCTAACCACTCCTTCCCAACTCCGCCCCCCCCTCTCTCTCTCTAAAAACTAGCCATTTCAATGGCCTTAGCTTCCACTCCACTCTCAAAGCCCTTCTTCTCCACCAAACCCAAATCACTATCATCCTCAATATTATTACCTCCAACTTCCACTTCGATCCCACCTTCGTTAAAGTCTCGGCCGTTGACAGTTCGGAGCTCCGTCGCCGCCGCATCGCCGCCGGCAACGAAGGTGTCGAAGGAATTCAAGGTGAAGTCGGTGAAGGCGAGGCAGATCATTGATAGCAGGGGGAATCCGACGATCGAGGTTGATCTTGTGACTGATGATCTGTACAGATCCGCGGTCCCCAGTGGGGCCTCTACTGGGATCTACGAGGCATTGGAGCTTAGAGATGGTGACAAGAGCGTCTATGGAGGTAAAGGTGTACTCTATGCTGTCAAAAACATCAATGAGATCTTGGCTCCTAAGCTCATCGGCGTCGATGTCAGGTGATTTTTTTTTATATTTATGTATGTATATTTACGTGCATTTAATTCTGTTTGGTTGCTGGGAAATTGAGGGAAAAGACTCTATTTTTAGTTCAATTGTTGTATTAGAATCAACTTAGTGGGAAATTTTGATTTGCAATGAGAAGTCAGTACATTTTGTGTTCTTTCCCTTTCCTATATTTGTTTTGGAGAACCAAACTTAGAAAATTTGTATTTTGTTGCCATTTTATATGTTAATTAAAGGTTTTTTAAAAGTTCATTTATTTGGTGACACATTTCATTGTGATTTGATGGAGTTAGTGGGATGTAGATGTAGAGTTGATAAGTGATATGGATTACAATGTAATTGTCTCTAGTGAATTAGTATTTGAAGGAAATTTTTTATAATTTGTTTATCGACTTTTGTTTTGCTCTTTGGAAGTGGAATGGTGGCTTGAAGTTGTATACAGTAGCAAAACTAATGCTTGGTGCAATCTAGGAGATTTAATTAAGCCCAAAACTAAAGTATGAATTAATGTGGAGCTAATTATGTTTGGGATATGCATTGGAGAATGTTTACAGGGTATATCTATTAGTTAGAGGTAGTTTGTGGCATTAGCATTTCAGGAGTGCGAGCGTTGAGACTTTAGTTGCAACTTGCAAGGCGGGATCAATAGCAAGTTTTGAGACGTAAGCTGATGACTTAATATGCCCATGTTTGGTGTTGCTAAAAGGAATAGTATTTGTGGAGAGACAAAAGGATAATGTGTTTAGATATATAGACAAAATACAATTATGATGCAATGCATAATATCAACATTTGAGTTGGTTCTGATATAGCTGCAAATTTAATTAACTTGGTTGAGTGGAAATAACTTTGGTAACCAATCAAAATTTTTTCCCTGATATTGGCCTTGTCAAGTCATGTGATTTTACTACTAATAAGTTAAAAACAACATTTCAGGATAGGTAGCTGAACTTACAGTTGAATCCTGGTTCTGTGCTGGGATTGCTGGTGTATCCAGTCTTGGACTTTGAGTCCGACGAAGCTTGACCCAGTTTTTTATTGGGATGCATTTTGGAACCACTTGATAAAAGAGTAGCAGTGACCTTCTTCTCTCTCTCTCTCTCTCTCTCTCTCTCTGTCTCTCTCCCCTTTTCAATCACTTGGGACGTTGTGCATATAAGCCTCCGGGCATCTGTTAACATCAAGCTCAGTCAAAAAATTCCAGATGCAATAATTGTTATCATCCCAATCTATGTTACATGGACTCGGTTATGGGTGTCGGGTGTGGATATGTATCCAGAGGTTGGACTCATCAAACTATAAATTTAAGAGTACGCGGACTCGGCAAAAAAATGTCATATTTTTATAAATTAATGTAGTATGTGAGATAAAATAGTATTATATGTAGCTTACAGTGTCAAAAAGATATTTATAGTAATTATACAACAATATGTACGTATAATTATAGTGTTATATACAATTATATAAGTATCCGTTGAAAAATATCCGACACATATCCCATACTCTTATCAGAGTGTCGGGTGTCTGACACGGGTATTTGATTTATTTTGAAGAGTCTGTGTTAACATATATCCGAATGCTATTTGGATGTTGTGCTTTAATTGTTATCCTGTCAGCTCACTATATAGCCCATGTAATTGATCATTGCATCGTTTTTGTTTTTGTTTTTGTTTTTCTTTTTTTCTTGCAAAACTTGGTATTTGTTCATTTGCACATGTTTTTCTTAGGATATTTAATGCTGACAATTTTTTGACTTTCTTTTGTATAAACAAAAAGAAATCAAGTTGATGTTGATTCGCTTATGCTGGAGCTTGATGGAACTCCAAATAAGTCAAAATTGGGGGCTAATGCAATACTAGGAGTGTCTCTGAGCGTATGTAGGGCTGGTGCTGGAGCAAAGGGAATGCCTCTTTACAAGCACATACAAGAATTATCAGGAATTAAAGAGCTTGTTATGCCCGTTCCTGCTTTCAATGTGATAAATGGTGGCAGCCATGCCGGCAATAGTCTTGCCATGCAAGAGTTCATGATATTACCAGTAGGAGCAACCTCATTTGCAGAGGCTCTCCGCATGGGTAGCGAAGGTAAGCAAACTCGTTCTGCTCTTATTGCAGTTCTTATAAATTAAAATTGATGACTAAAATTCTGACAATCAGGTCTCATGAAGTATTTTGATTACTAACTTGCATAATCTTATAGCTTCTTCCAAACGTTCTAGGGCTATGGGTAATCAAAACTGGCTTCCATGTTATTTATCAAAACAAATAAATAAAGGGAAATGCTAAAAACTGCTCCTAGGGTTGTTGTTAGTGTTGGAAAATGTGTAAAAAGTGTATCGAAAATGTGTAAAAAGTGTATAAAAATCTGTAAAAGTGTTTTGGGATTATAAATATTTTGGCATTATTTGTTTCTTATTGACAATTCTTTGGGTTGTCATTAGCAAGACCCATAAATGAATACTAATCAACCGACATGAATACTTAGTAATCATTAGTGCTAAAAGATTGACAATAATTTTACTTTTGCCAAAACAGTTTATCATGTACTGAAGGGAATTATCAAAACGAAATATGGACAAGATGCATGCAATGTTGGAGATGAGGGTGGATTTGCTCCCAATGTTCAGGATAATAGGGAAGGATTGGTATTGCTCGTAGATGCAATTGAAAAGGCTGGATTCACAGGAAAGGTAGCGGCATGAATCTATTACTCATTCTTAACGGTAGGTCATTTAATCCTTCAGAACAGTTTCTAACAAAAAATGAATGGTACAGGTAAAGATAGGAATGGATGTTGCAGCTTCAGAGTTTTTCACCAAGGATGGGAAATATGATCTCAATTTCAAGAAACAACCAAATGATGGTGCTCATGTGCTTTCAGCTCAGAGCCTTTGTGACCTATACAAGGAATTTGTCAAGGATTTCCCTATAGTTTCTATTGAAGATCCCTTTGATCAGGATGATTGGAGCTCATGGACTTCTCTACAGTCTTCAGTTGATATTCAGATTGTAGGTGATGACCTGTTGGTCACAAATCCAAAGAGAATAGCTGAAGGAATTCAGAAGAAGGCGTGCAACTCTTTGCTATTGAAGGCAAGCATTTATATCTAAATATTAAATAAACTTTCATTTGTTTTTACTCATATGGCCTTGTTATATTCAGACTTGTGCTTGATGCCTTCTATATTCTTTGACTTGTTCTTATTGTTCCTCCTGCATCATGTTGAGATTTTGTTTTGCTTTTCGGGAGCATTTGTGTTTCTGCTGATCAATTTGACCTTCTATACATTACTTAAAACCAAAATATTCAACTTATATTAGGATTTTTTCAAAGGGAAATTTGGCCACAAATCCCTTAGGAGGCACTTATCTTGTCAAAAGGACAAGAATTATATGAGTACTTTCAAAAGCTTTAGTATTTTAAAACATCCTTCTCATAGTCACTGTTTGTTTTCACTGTCTCATATGAGATTGATAACCTTAGATTTGAGATTTATTACCTTAGATTTGAAAATCAATAGTTCTCTCTCTCTCTCTCCCCTTCCCCTATAAACCCTTGTTTTTGTTCGTTCCTTTTTTTTATTTGTTCATAGGTGAAATCGCAAATTTTACTCTGATTCAGAGTAAATTTTACTTTGATTTAGAGTAAAATTTTACTATGAATCAAATTAAAATTTTGTCCTCTTAACAAAAAACGGGAGCTGTGAGGGAGTTTTGCAAGTATTGAATTTTTTTGTCAAATTTTTTGTCCTTATGACAAAAAACGAAAGGTCTGAGGGACTTACAGCCAAATCTCCCTTTTTCAAATATTAGTTTCTTTAGTGTTGATTGTTAGTCATGTTGAAACTTGATTGTTCTGTTCCCTGTCTGCTCCTGACCATCTTCCTTATTGATTAACCTTCATGGGAAAATTCAGAAATCATAGGACATATAAATATAAAATGCAGTTATCTTCCATGGTTGCTGACTTGTCAATACCACATTTAATAATTGCAGGTGAACCAGATTGGTACAGTAACTGAATCTATTCAAGCAGCTCTTGACTCGAAGGCTGCAGGATGGGGTGTGATGGTCAGCCACCGAAGTGGTGAAACAGAGGATAACTTCATTGCAGATCTTTCTGTTGGCTTGGCTAGTGGACAGGTATTATCAGCTGTACCCTCTAAATCTTTTCTACATAGTATGTATTTGGGTAGACTTTAGTTAACTATTTTATGTTTTGCTATGTAGATCAAAACTGGAGCTCCTTGCCGAAGTGAGCGGTTGGCCAAGTATAATCAGGTAAAATTAAATCTTTTTCGTTTCTTCTTCTGTTTGTTTGTCATGCTTGAAGCTAATTTAACTAGCTATAGGTCAGATTGATACTACTGCATTATAATGAGTGATCTTGGTTTTGTACTGAATATTGTAGTAGGTCTAGATGTTCAATGCAGTTGAATATTTGCCTGGTTGGATAATACTAATGATCCAAATTTCAAAGTTATTTGATTGGTTAGTGTGGAAACAGCTTGCCTTAGAAGCTTAATCTATGAGCAAATGGGGCTAAACCTTGTCATCAAGTTTCTTTTGAATTCTTGTGTTTGGCTGGGGGATTTGGGAAGAGATTAGGACAGGAAGGGGAAAATGTAGGTGAAATGTGAATAATATATACTTACATTTTACATAGTTTCACACTATTTTTCCTTTTCCTTTCCAAATCTCTCCCAAAATCTCCTAACCAAACACAGCCTAAAGTGTTCTCCTTGAAATTCTGGCAGTCTGTTATACAATTACTTTTTAAATCCTTGGTAAACAAACAGTTCTGAGATGTCACGGCATTCACCTTTTTCTGTTAATTAATTATCTTCAGCAACTAATCTAATCTCATCCGTTCTATTTTATCAATTCGATTGCAGCTTCTTCGTATTGAAGAGGAACTTGGAGATGTTCGTTATGCTGGCGAAGCCTTCAGAGCACCTTAAATCTTTTTGTTGAAGAATAACAAGTAATGGATCCAATTCTCACCTTAAATCTTTTTGTTGAAGAATAACAAGTAATGGATCCAATTCTCACCTTAAATCTTTTTGTTGAAGAATAACAAGTAATGGATCCAATTCTCACCTTAAATCTTTTTGTTGAAGAATAACAAGTAATGGATCCAATTCTCACCTTAAATCTTTTTGTTGAAGAATAACAAGTAATGGATCCAATTCTCACCTTAAATCTTTTTGTTGAAGAATAACAAGTAATGGATCCAATTCTCACCTTAAATCTTTTTGTTGAAGAATAACAATTTTACTCTGCATAAAAGTAAAATTTTACTCTGAATAAGAGTAAAATGTTACACTCTGAAACTAAAAGTAAAATTTTACTCTGTATAAAAGTAAAATTTTACTCTGGTTCTGTCAAATGAAAAAAACAGAGCAATTTTACTCTGGTTCTGTCAAATGAAAAAAACAGAGCAATTTTACTCTGGTTCTGTCAAATGAAAAAAACAGAGCAATTTTACTCTGGTTCTGTCAAATGAAAAAAACAGAGCAATTTTACTCTGGTTCTGTCAAATGAAAAAAACAGAGCAATTTTACTCTGGTTCTGTCAAATGAAAAAAACAGAGCAATTTTACTCTGGTTCTGTCAAATGAAAAAAACAGAGCAATTTTACTCTGGTTCTGTCAAATGAAAAAAACAGAGCAATTTTACTCTGGTTCTGTCAAATGAAAAAAACAGAGCAATTTTACTCTGGTTCTGTCAAATGAAAAAAACAGAGCAATTTTACTCTGGTTCTGTCAAATGAAAAAAACAGAGCAATTTTACTCTGGTTCTGTCAAATGAAAAAAACAGAGCAATTTTACTCTGGTTCTGTCAAATGAAAAAAACAGAGCAATTTTACTCTGGTTCTGTCAAATGAAAAAAACAGAGCAATTTTACTCTGGTTCTGTCAAATGAAAAAAACAGAGCAATTTTACTCTGGTTCTGTCAAATGAAAAAAACAGAGCAATTTTACTCTGGTTCTGTCAAATGAAAAAAACAGAGCAATTTTACTCTGGTTCTGTCAAATGAAAAAAACAGAGCAATTTTACTCTGGTTCTGTCAAATGAAAAAAACAGAGCAATTTTACTCTGGTTCTGTCAAATGAAAAAAACAGAGCAATTTTACTCTGGTTCTGTCAAATGAAAAAAACAGTAAAATTTTACTCTGGTTCTGTCAAATGAAATTAGATAAAAAACAACAAAAATAAATCAAAAACAAACAAACAAACAAACAAACAAAAAGAAAACAAATTAATCAACAAATCAACATATCTAATTGAGAAAAAAAACTTCAAAAAAAAAAACAAACAAACAAAAATAAAACAAATTAATCAACAAATCCACATATCTAATTGAAACGAAAAATTTCTAAAACTCGATCAACAATCACACATCTCAATGAAAAAGAATACATGTGTTCAACAACACTCATACACACAAATATATATACATATATTCTACTGTTCCTCATCCACATCCTTCCCAACCCCCTGTTCAACTTCTTTCAATCTCGAAGCTTCAGCCTTCGCATTCAACATCGCCAGCATCTCATCAACAACCTCATCATGTTTCTTCTCCGCTTCCAATTGAGCCATCTCCACCGCACTCCGAATCTCCATCTGCTCCGAAACCCTAGTTTTCGAATCTCCAACGACATCCTCATTCAATTTCAACATACTCAAAGCCACATCGTTGTTGGTTATGAAGATGAAGAGAGGACCTTCTGCTGAAGCTTGGAAGACGCGACTATGGCGGCGGCTTGTCGACGACCTTCTACTGAAACTTGGAAGATGCAACTATGGTGATTATGATACAGTTGATGACGAAGCTGATTATATATGCAGAAGTTGAGGGTATAATAGTCCTATAAAATATTTAAATAATAAATTTTGTCCTTTATGCAAGACTTTATAATTATGAGAGGGTTTAGAAAGTATAATTTTTTTCTTAATCCTTTTAACAATGAAAGGAAGGTAAAAGGGGTTTATAGCTAAATTTCCCTACTTATGTTTTCAAAAAATTTGAAACTGAAAATCAAAATTTGTTTAGTGTTTGTTTTCGTTTTTAAATAATATAAACAATTTAAAGAAATTTTTAAATTCTATAAAAAAAAAAAAAAAATTGTCCATTCTTTCTCCCCCACCCCCTCCAACCACCAATCACCACTAGCAACCCACCTTCGGGCACCCCACCTTTGGCCACTGTTTGGTGACCTCTTTTGACCACTATCATCAGTCACAACCACCGCTACTCAGAAAACTTTGCCAATCCCATCTCTGGCCACCCCTTCTTACTTATTTTTTTAATACATGTGTAACAAAAATATTTTTCCATTTTCATTTTATCAAAAATAAATATATACATGTTAAATATTTTTTTAAAAACAGTAAATATTACCAATGTCATCTAAGTATTTTTGCTAACTCAACCACAAAGAAAATATTATTTAATTTTTAATGATCATTATATATAAGTTTGTTGAACAAGTTGGGAGTGTAAATTGTGTTAGAGTCAAATTTAGGTCTCGTCTGGGAAGTAAGAGTTTTAACATAAAAGTTAAAAAAATTATTAAAAAATATCAAAAAATCTATAATCTCTATCAAAAAGTCAAAGATTTCATTTTTTTTTTACTTTTTGTACTTCTTTTTGTAAAACATCAAAAAGTCATTCTAAACATATAAGTTTTTTTATCTTATATTTTAGCCAAAAAATTAAAAAATTACTAAAATATCTTATTCCCAAACAAGGCCTTGGACTCTGACAAGATTTTTAAGCCTGATGTTGAGTTGGGCTTGGACACATGATGTTTTTGTTCGGCATCATTGTTAAATTGAATTTTTATTCTTACTCAATATGCACTTTTATTTTCTGGAAATATTAGGTCCTGCATATACAAATGATACTTATTATATGCAACAACGACAGTAACAAATTGGCCAAATATTCATCCAAACATCATTTTTCACCGAATATTAAGTTAAAATTAAATAATTAATTTGTAATATGTGTTTTATTTTGAGTCAATTTGTAATATAAGTTTGTAAGTTGCGCAACTTGCTCAACTTGTTGCTTCAGAGCTGTGTCAGTTTATACATGTATGTGTTTGGTTCATCCTCATTGGTTGAGAGGGTTGGCAGCCTTGCCTATATAACGAAGGCAAGAGCTCTTCAATTTTAAAATACACCAAAACAGAGCAAAGCAATAACTCTCTCTCTCTCTCTCTCTCAAAAAAAAAAAAAAAAATTATCTCTTTATATTTTCTGATCTTTGCAGTTTTTCTCTCCTCTAAATTTGTGATCCCACCATAATTCACAGGCATACACTTTGCACCCAACATATTACATATATAGATGGTGGATTTAGATGGAAAAGCTTTGGCCACTGAGGACAATTGGACTAACTATACCTTCCATATACTTGGACTACTACGTACATGAGCTATAGTTGGTCCAAGTGACTCCAAGATGACAAAGATTATGGCCTCAACATTTACAGGCCAAAAACTGATGCTTGCATGAAATGGCTTGATGAGCAACCAAATGGGTCAGTCATTTATGTCTCTTTTGGGAGTTCGGCCAAACTCGGAGTCGACCAAATGGAAGAACTAGCATGCGGTTTGAGAGGAAGCAATTGCCACTTCTTGTGGGTGGTCAGAGCAACAGAAGAGTTCAAGCTTCCAAAACATTTTGTGGAGGACACAAACGAAAAGTGTTTTGTGGTGTCATGGTGTCCTCAATTGGAAGTTCTAGCACATGAGGCGACGCATTGTGGGTGGAATTCGACTTTGGTAGTTCCAATGGTGGCAATCCCACAATGGACAGACCAAAGCACAAATGCAAAATATGTCATTGATGTGTTGGGATGGGAGTCCGGGCTTCAACGCGAAGAGAGCGGGATAGTGAGGAGAGAAGCGGTAGGGGGTTGCATAAGGGAAGTGATGGAAGGGGAGAGAGGGAGAGAGATTAGGAGCAATGCAATGAAATGGAGGGAATTGGCAAGGGAGGCAGTTGATGAAGGTGGTAGCTCAGATAGGAGTGTTGATGAGTTTGTTTCTAAATTAGGCCACTCCTAATTAAGCATGTTTGTGAATCAGTTACCTGTATACAAATTAGGATATGGTTTTTTCCACTCTACAATAAACTAGAACATGCTGGTCGATTTGGGTCCATCATAGGGCTCACTTTTATGATAGAAAAATGATTTGCTTATATTCTAAGATTATGTACGAAAATTATTTATGAAAGAAAAAAAAATGATTTATTCGTTAATCCTAGTACATGATTTATCGTTAAGCAAATGAACAACACGTATGATTTTAAAAATAGGTTAATTACATTTTTAATTCTCAAATTATGAGCCTTTGTGTCATTTTAGTTCTTAATTTTAAATTGTATGTCAATTTAATTTCCAATACATAAAAGTGTTTCGATTTGGTCTCCAATATTTAAAGGGCAAAATTTGCTTTATCCCCTTATAATTTCGCTTACCCCCTATGGTTCAAATATAAACAGAAACCTCCCTTATGATTTTGAATTAAAGTACTATGGTTAGTTTTTCTATGAAATATAATGGAAGATGTGTCACACTCTCTCAAATTGAGAGTGTGCAATGCAAAAGTCCCAAGTCAAAATCAAAATGTGAATCAAATGTCAATAATAACCTCCAATTCATCCTATTTTCCAAATTAAATCTTAATCCTAACCAAACCCTAACCTTAACCCTAAGTGTCATCTTTTCTTAAAAAATAATAATAATTTAATTTAAAATGTTATTAAATGAGAGATTGGGTAAAAAATTAAATAGTAGATTAAGGTAATTTTATGATAATAAATTAGAGTAATTAGGTTAATTTATGTTTAATTTAATATATGTATATATATGTAAATGTTGAATTTAAAATATTATTGAATAATAAATTGGCTTAAAATTATGGTAATAAATTAAGATATTTAGGTTAATTTATAATTGAAGTTGTTAAATATATATTTATATGTTTAATTTAAAATGTTATTAAATAAGGTAATTTTTATAATTAATTAGGTGTGTTTTGCTTAATTTATAATTTAATTTGTTAAATATATACATTCATATGTTTAATTAAAAATGTTATTAAATAAGGTAATTTTACGGTAATAAATTAGGGTATTTATTTTAATTTATGATTTAATTAATTATATATGTGTGTGCTTATTTTAAAATTTTATTAAATAATAAATTAGATTAAAAATTAAAAATTAGATTAAGATAAATTTAAGGTAATAAATTAAGGTGTTTGGGTTAATCTTATGGTTTAATTTATGGTAATTTTGTATTTAATTTAAAATGTTGTTAAATAAGAAATTGGGTTTAAAAAAAAATTAGATCAAGGTAATTTTATGATAACAAATTAGGATGCTTAGTTTATTATGATTTTATTTGTTAAATATGTTATTAAGATAGAAAATTATATATATTAAAGGAAGGAGGGAGAGAGAGAGAGAGAGAGAATTATAGGGGTATTTAGGTAATTTTGTCTTTATTTATACCGAGTTAACTTTGCACTTCAATCCAAAATCATAATCAGTGTGTTTAGTTTGAGTTTTCTGGATTAAGTTTTTTGATAACTGAGTTTTTGGTTTTCGTATTCTTTTGGTTTTAGTGAATATTTTTTAAATTCTAAACATTTTTTTTTTACTTTTTTAGATGCACCTTAGTTAGATGTATCTAAAAAGTAAAAAATTTGTAAAAAAATATTTTAATAAATATATAAAAATACAAAAAATATACTGAATTCTTATATTTTTTTATATTTTTGCATTTAATGAATTTTTAAAATATTTTTTTTGCAATTTTTTTACTTTTTAGGTGTATTTATGTTAGGTGTGTCTAAAAAGTAAAAAAATTGTTTAAAATATTTAAAAAATTCAGTAAAAACAAAAAAACACGAAAAATAAAAAAGTAAAATTTTTTAAAAAGTGTTTTTTGAAAAATGAAAACAAGCAAGTTGAATGGGTTCTTTACCTATATTCGAATTGTAAGAGGGTAAAGTGCTCCAAAACAAAACTATAGGAAATAAAGTGAATTTTTTTGTTATATTTGTGTTAATCTCATTTCTAATGTATTAAAAATATTTCAATTTAATTCTTTAATATTTAAATAATTTTATGTAACAGAGTTAAATTAGAAAACTAAATCAAAATACTTTTTCGGTTCTGCTAACAGGTGTCCCATACACTTGTTAAGGAATAATAGTAAATAATATTATATACATTGACTATATATGTAACAGCAATACAAGGTGGCCACAAATTCTGTGATTCAAATGGTCTGAAATTGCTAAAATGACATCGTTTTAAATGCAAAATAAGTCAAAATAATATCATTTTAACAGTTTTGAACCATTTGAACCACATAAATTGTGGTCACCAAACATTTTTCATATATGCAATGCATCATTTATCTTCATAGTTTTTAACACTAATAATAAATGTTCTGAATACTCTTTTTAATCACACTTTTAATCTTATTATTTTTATATACTCCTGTATTTGTCAATACCAACCATGTGGGATCCAAGATGAAATTAAATTCAATTGCACTTCTCTTGAAATTTGTTCTCCTCTCAGAGCAATGTTCCCAAAACTTAGAAATGTTTGACAAAAATAAACAATAAGAAATATAATTTTAAAACTATTTTCAAAAAAAAATTATATAAAAATAATAAGTGTTATTTTTTTTTCCATCAAATTAGATTTTAAATTTTTTTCATAAACATATCATCTAAAACCCTTTCTTTTAAATCTAGCTACCAAAAAATGAAAAATAAGACAAAAATATAAACAGGCGCATATTCAACTATTACTATAACAGAGAAAAAAGAATCAATAAAAAAATAAAAAGAGAAAAAAAGAAGCAATAAAAAAAATATTTTTTCAATTTATTCACTAAGATGTTTACACATAAAAAAATCAGCCGTGCCTTATACCCCCAGTGGGGTCGCACCCCCAGTGAGGTGACGCACTCCCACTGGCTGACAGTCCAAAAAAAAAAAAAAAAAAAAAAAAAAATTTTTTTTCCTCACGGGCCGCCACCTCACTGGGGGTCGACCCCCAGTGGGGGTATAATGCATTTTCGATAAAATAATTAGATCATCGAAATGGATTTCGTGATTGGTTTCACATGTCCAAATAGTTCTCTCATGTTTAAATTTTGGACAAATTACATATACCTCCCTTCAGGTTTACCTAAATTACAGATATCTCCCTGAAATTTCAGAAATTACATCCTGCCCCTTAAGGTTTGTATTTTCATAACAATTTGTCCCCTGAGATTTAAATTTCATAACAAATTACTCCCTAATTTGTTATGCAAATATAATATTCAGGGGGGAAATTTGTAATTTCTCAAACTTCAGAGGATATTTGTAATTTAGCCAAACCTCGAGAGAAATATATGTAATTTGCCCTTAAATTTAAACTTGAAAAAAGTTCAATTCAAAACGTGATACCTATATACCTCTATCTTGAATCATATCTACTGTGTGGGTGATTTTCTGACCACACTGCCCGCTTAGTAACCAGCTGGAGAGCACTAGTAGAATAGATGGCACCTGACTGACCTGCAACAGAAATATAAGAATCCCGCGGTGGTTTCGACCACCCGGGGGCACTCCGACGATCAAGTCAGTATATCTCTCAAAGATAAATCAAGTACTAAACTCACAAGCTTGAGTATCAAAAGCATACCTTAGACCCATGGGGGTGCCTCTCTTTTATAGCCAATACAATCCTAGTCCCAAAAGGAGCCTGGCCCTAATGGACTTAGGATTACTGCTAATCTGGGACTCCCTTATGCCATTTCATAGACTCTCTAAGAGTCTCATCTTTACCCAAACTAAAGTCTTCTTCCAATCTAGGACTCTTGTCCATATCCAAGTTGAGTTCCCTCTTCATTCTAGGACTCTTGTCCCTTATCCACTTATCTCGGATTCCGATATCTTCGGAGATAACCTCGGCAA